TACATTCAGATGGATAGAAAATGGATAATTCATATGGACTCACATGGATAGAAAAAGTGCATCATGCAGTTGCGGGTTTTATAAAATTTTGTGCACATTTTGTGTGATGGATCTCATTAGCGTAGCAAAAAATGTGGAAGGAACGTTCTGTTACAAAAATAGCTGAGTGCCTTCACTTTTCTCAGTTGTCTTACTCGTGAATTTATCAAAAAATGCTAAGACATCATATATTTTCTCCAAACGGATTTGTTCCCTCTTTTTAAAAATTTGAAGTGTTCTAACATACATACACTAAGGATATTGGAGTTTCCAGGAAAGTCAGTGCGGAGATCACTTATTGTTGATATTTAGTGCAGCAAATCGATCCAAGACCTCTTCAGCACGACTTTCCTTATCAAAATGCAGTCAGAAAATTATCAAGGGGGCTGCTATGTCAGAATTGCAATAATTACAATTTATTTTTACGCCTTCTTTTTGTTTCTTGATGTCTGAGAAGCAAACTGGCAGACGATTCCTCGTATTTTTTTGCTATGCTAGTAGCACTGACATGGTTCGAATTCAAAAACTAATTTTCAGAACGAGCACGTTGTCCTGTTTCTCACTTGAATTCTTTTTACTACCGTCTCGTGTTGAACCTGAAAATTAGACAAAAACTTTTACTATGCAGGTCATTTTATTAGGAAACCTCAAGCGGTTACTGCGAATTGTAACAAAACAGCTAGTCAGTATTATGGTTAAAAGATAAAAAGCTAAAGTAAACAAGCCGTAAAGTGTAAGGACAAACTATAAAACAGTTATAATAGTAATGATAATAACAAATTATTATTAATATTATTACAATAACGATGAATTAAATCACTATTATTGCATAACAATAAGTTATAATAATTACTACACAGTTCATCGATCAAATTTTACACTACTTTGTGCCGTTTCTGTTTTATTGATAACCTACTGATTAAATTATTGTAGACAACGCCTCTTGTGTTGTTTGAGCCATTTCTGCTTTCCATCGGTAAATTGGTCATGTTGTTGCGGTTATTCATGCCGTTCTCAATAAGTAAAGCGTTGATCAATTTGTTGTAGTATTCAGTATCATTACCATTTCTTAGCCCACCGATTATGTAGCTGGTGTAAGGCACGCCATATTTATTTATTAGCAAATTGACCAAGCTGTTATCAGTACCATTGCCATTAATAAGCTCATTAATAAAGTTGTTGTAGTATTCCACATTGCTGTTACTGTTGTAGTTATTGTTATTGCAGTTTCTCCCGAACCATAAATCAATGTCATGAGCATCGTTTCCTAGCAATAAATTGGTGTTTGGATCGCCAGCCTTGAACGCCAGTCTGTTATTACCGTCAATGTCCAACAATATTTCATTGCGAGGATCACCAATGTCCAGCTGTAATTCGACGTGCGAGTGATTGGTCTCAAGCGACACGACCACACTGGGATCATCGCTGCTAACATGCAAGTCAATGTCTGAGCTGCTGTTGCTGAGCAGTTCATTGATTAAGTTATTGTAAAATTCAATCCCGGTTTTGTTATCAAGCGATAAATAAATGCCCGAGCTGTTGTGGTCGGCAATCAGTTCGTTGATAAAGTTATTGTAGAAGTTTTTGCTGCTAGTCGTTGTTGTTGTGGGTCTTGCTGTAGTTGTTATTGTTGCTGATGACGATGTTGTCGTTGTTGCTGACGTTGCTTTTGAAGTTGAAGGTATTGGTGTAACAAGAACAGCAAGGAGCATGAAGAATACCGCGCACAATATCATGCCGCAAATTAGGGTTTATCGTTCTGGCTTAGTTATATCCTGAAATGAAAACAGTTTAAGCATAAGCCCCAAGAGGCGTCACCATGTTGGTGATTCAGTGCATTTGTCCATTGGTGGAGCAGTAAGGGCAGAAGCGTTAGAGTGCCGAAATTTTCAGTGTTCTTTGAGAGGTTGGGATTCCTTTGCACAGCTGCTCCGTTTTATCCCGCCGAAAATTGGAATTTCACTTTTTGTAAAGCTCCAAAATAATGAAAATTTCGGTTTTGGTGTAAAATCACTTTTATACGTGTTTTGTTTCCAGCGAAATAAAATGTACCAACTGAATTCTCGCAAAAAAACTAAAGCACAAAACACAAAGTTCATTTGGATTCACTAATAGTCTTTAAGTAGCCGGATCTTAAAAACACGAATATATCAAATTTATTCCAGAAAAAGCATTCTAAGTATGAAACAAGCATTATCAAGAAAAGTTGGTCCGAACTAAGGGTTGAAACACAAGCAAATGACTTTTACTGCCTAATGTTCATGCGTGCTTGATAATCGTACGCCCCTTAAAACATATCTTTACTGTCTGTCTTCAAAATTCCATGATTCTACATAAGCTAATGCTTATCCATAAAATTCCAAGACCCTAAACTTATTCACTGTTTCAATTTTGTCATAAACTCTACCTTTCCAAAACTACATCACTAAAGTCAAAATTCCCTCCGTGCTCATTATCAGTAAGAGAGGAGGCACTTGAGAAGTAGCCCGAGTCGTAACAAATGCCAGCATTAATTGGCGGCTGGCGGGGCTGTTGTTGGCTCCCGCCTTCGAGGACTGCTTACAAGCAAACTGATGGCTGGTTTCATTACCCTCTTTTTATAATTCTTCCCGTTCTCTTTCTTCCACACTTCGCCAGAAGCCCCTTTAACAGTGGCCTTTATTACTTCACTACTGTTATACCTCTTTAGCCTTTTTAATCCTCATTTCGGATATACTTCATTGCAAGAACAACAAGGTGGCCCGTTCCCTTGACGTACATTCAGATGGATAGAAAATGGATAATTCATATGGACTCACATGGATAGAAAAAGTGCATCATG